TCACCAGATTCCTGTCTTCTCCAGCCCTTACGGGCACTCCTACTCCGTCGCAGAGTTATCGATTTGCTTTATTATCTCGTTAGCGCGGCAGCTCATGGACCGTAGTATGGAAATGCATCGGGGGGAATGGAACAAGGTGTCCAGCGACTGCTATGAGGTTCGTGGTAAGACCCTCGGTATTGTGGGATACGGACACATTGGTTCCCAGGTGAGTTCTCGTCCATCCGTAAATTGTAACTTTAGCGATCTTTTGAACGCGATACTGCTTAAGCTGGGTGTCATGGCTGAGTCGATCGGGATGCGGGTCATCTTCTACGACATTGCAACTGTTCTCCCCATTGGACGCAGTCAACCTCAAGCCTCTCTCGCCGCCTTACTCCCAGTGTCTGACTTTGTTGCTATCTGTGTTTCTCCGACAGCGGAGAATCGCCATCTGTTTGGTGAAAACGAGATTCGGCAGATGAAGAAGGGTGCCTACCTCATCAATACCAGCTACAGTGAAGCAGTTGACTTCGAGGCTGCTGCACAGGCTCTCAAGGCCAAGAACCTGGCTGGTGCTGCTTTCGATGTGTTCCCCAACACTCCCCTTTCGAACCAGGCGTCGTTCCAACACCCTTTTGCAAGCCTCAAGAACGTGATCATGGTACCGAACCTCGGTGACGCAACCCAACAAGCACATGAGCGAGTCGGTCACGACGTTGCGAACTCAATTGTGCGATTCCTGAACGAAGGTGCCAGTGTTGGGGCGGTCAACTTCCCCAGCATCCAGTCATGGCCCTTGAAATCGGGCACGAGGCGCATTCTGAACATGCACCGGAACGTGAGGGGCGTGCTGAAAGAGATTGATTACATTCTTTCAGCCTACAATGTAGGAAAGCAGGTGTTGGAGACCAACGGAAAATTGGGGTATGCTCCCGTCCACAAATTTCGAAACTGAACCTCTCCAGGATAACATCTTCGATCACTTGTGCAGGTACTTGATTGCAGACGTCAATACAGAAGAAGTAACCACGGAAATTGTCGCCCAACTTGGTGAAGTGTTTCTGCTGTTCGTTAGTTTGAGACTAACGTTCTGAGAGAACTGCGCCCTCCCTGCAGCACTCCTTTCGAACACCATCCGATCACGGATTCTGTAAACTATTATCCTTCATACACTTAGAATGCATAGATTGATCGTCCAAACGAAAAATGATATTTGCAAACATTCATGAAAGTGATAATTGATTTGAGCTGCGCACGACTCTTTTTTCGAATTCAATATATACAGATATTTACACGTACGTGGAGGTCCACTCAACGAGATGTGCCGACCTGGCTTCCTGCCAGGCTTGACTCACTGTCGTCGGAAGTTACACTGAACCGTCGATCCCTTGAGCCAGGTTTCACAAGACAAAATGCTTTCAGCCCGGCAACAAATGTGGGTGCAAGAGGCGACGTGGGGAAAGTGAGAGCTTCAAAGCCAATTGAATTCGTGTCATTCATGCTCTTGCCTTGGTACGGAGTAATTCAAGTGACCAGAGCTCACCACTAATAAGGCCGACGTGATCCACCCCGTCCCAGTGAACTTCGTCCACAACCCTTACACCCCCTCTACGTAGTGCCTGGGCGAAATTTCGAGTCTGAGTGGGAAGGACGAAAGTGTCGCTGGTGCCGTGATGGAGCCACCACCGATGTGGTAGGACCTGTCGCACAAAGCTTGGGGGCAATGTACGAAGAATGTGGAGCGGGGAGGTGGTTGAAAGTGGTCGTGCTGCAGTAAAATGATGATCCTTTGAGAGGTCAGATTTGGAAGAATTGATGGGCACCTCTCACCGTTTATCCGGCTGAGACACGAGACCTCTTCAAACCCGCGATTCCTTTCGTGCTCAAAATGAGCTGGCAAGTCGAATATCCCCGCAACTCTGGTTGACGGGCAACACAATTCCGATCTGTGAGCACGAGCACCCAGACCACGGACTAAAGCGAATGCGACCCACAATACTACCCCCTCGATTTGAGGGAGCTCCACTCCCGGCTCCCTCAGACCTCTTACTCTTCCCATCCCTGTCAAAAGTCCTCCGCCCATCCCGCCACCAGCCCCACCAGGACCGCCCGCAAGCTGCCCATTGCCATAACCATTGAATCCCTGCAAATACTGTGCCTCGCGTTCAGATTCACGTCGCCTACGCAAAACTGCGTCGTGAAGAAGAGTGAGTGTCACGACATGTGCGCCTGATTCATGCGCCAAAATGAAAATGCGTGCAGGATCCCCTCCAAACTGACTGGAGAGCAGATAAAAAAAAATTTACCAAAGGGATTTAAGTGATGGAAGAACTCTTTATCCCTACTAATCACCGAATATGATCGTGGGTCCATATAATGGCAGCATGGATATCGGCGACCATTGTGTCAATTTTACCCTATTCGAGATTGCATGAAATGTCAGTAAGTCCCCACAATGAACCGCCCGGATTGGTTCGTAGTAACAAACCTTTGGATACAAGTCGTAATTGACAACTACCGCAACACAACCCATAGACTGGCCCATTTGAGCTACTGGCGTATAGATTCGCTTTTCGCCCTGCCTCCACATTCCGCCGTGCACAAAAATGATAACAGGCCGAAGTCGGTAGGGCCCAACCGTTTGCTCCGTAGACATTGCAGTACGGTCGATACGAAGAGGATAGGATGGGTGAGCGCAATACACATCAAGCGTGGAGCTACTGGAAGTGGAACCATAGTGGATATTGGAGCTGGCCATCCAAGGAAGCAAAGGATCGTTTCCGCTTTTATTTCGAAAGCTATGAGAGAGGGTGGTCCTGACGTATGGGATAGCTTACCATATGGCGAGCTTCCGCCCCTTTGGTGGCTCCTCTGCAAGCTTCGAAAGAAGCCAGATTGCACCATGTCGAATCGGTCCCAAAAGAACAGCGTAGGAGTGCTCGAGGATAAGATAATCGAGTGCAAATACCCTGAAGGGATCGTATGGCAAGTACGGTATGGGAGAGTTGGGGTTCACTTTGGGATTATCGGTTTGCGCTGTGAGGGAGCTCTTTTTAGGTTCCGGAAGCAATAGCCCGAAAGATACTATCTTCTTACCATAAACCATATAAGCAATCCAAGCAAGGATGTAGGCATTTGCTTTCGTGTCAAACGAGGAGGTTGGGACAAAGGATAATGGTGCGCCAAGGAGAATGCCCACCAACGAAGAGGACCAATAACGGCCAAGCAAAAAGGGCGCAAAGAGCCACTAGTGGCAATCCGACCAGCATCCAACTGGGTATTGATGGTATGATCCAGACAATGTCTGGGGAGCTGCGAACTGTTTGCTCGCCACTCAAAGATTTCCGCGCCTTTTCAAGAACCTGAGCGGAAGATATGCTCCGTTTTGTGGGCATTGTGGATTGTTTGACAGTTTTATGTTGCAGCCAGTTCCCAATCACATGTCAGTCATTTGACAGGCGGTCCTCATTGAGCCCAAGGACAGCGTCCACAATCAAGCAATGATACGGTATATCTGCTCTGTTGATGCTCTGTTGATACTTTCAAATTGCATTATATGCAACTGAACCGTCAACTAATTTATGTGGTACCCACTGTCCTTCCCATGCGGAGACGGATAATATGTAGACAAATTGCACAATGGTTTCGAGGCAATAAAAATAGTACTACTATTGTTTCACTTTTTTGTAGATTATTAGACAGTTTAATGCATTGGAATATGTACTTGTGTTCGAAACACCTCAATGAGTTTGGGCCTGTGCTCCCCGTTACTGTAACATGGTTTTCTCGCCTTTTAATTGCTTCTTGCACAGTGATTTCAGCGCCTAACGGGGAACTCCTATCTAGAATTCTTGTGCTACAATTGATTCCTACTCATGTCACCGATCGGTGGTCTGAGAATAAGTTATCCTTGTGACGTAATCCACGTGTATAATCGAAGCAAGTCGAGATGGCGCATTGAAGTGTCCTGTTTGCCACGGGAGAGTCATACTGTAGATGTTTCAACATGCTTGGAGAGTCGGAACTTTTTCATTAGTGCAAACAAAAGTAATGTATTGAATACAGAGGTGAAGGTTGACCAGGGATACAACGGACGGAGTGCCAGCCAGTCAGAGAGTGCAAAACATGACACAAATAGAAAGAAGCTCTGATAACCTTTTACTTGCGCTCTTCTTTTGCTTGCGTTATGATCGTTGTCGGATTGCACTGCCTCCACTCGTACATCAGAATCACCGATTCTCTACTCTCCTCCTCTCAACCCAAATAGAACGCCCGCAACGCATCCAAGTAACTCGGATTTATCAGTTTCAGCCAGAGGTGATGCATGACTTTCAATTCCGCCGAGCGCCGATGGCTCTGCCAAGTCAGGAAACACGTCCAGAGGCAAGCACACCAACCCTGTGAACGCTTGCAACCACACTTGAAGGATGGACTCAGCTTCGAGCGCATCGTCAAGGACTTGTTTACCCACGCCTTCAATACGTAATTACTCTGTGTTTTAATCGTCGGTTCAACAAACCAGGGAAGTTTCCCCCGACCATGTAAACGCTTGCAACCACACTTGAAGCATGGAATAAGCCTCGAGGGGCATCGTCAAGTGACTTGTTTAGCCACACCGTCGATAAGCGATTACGCTTGTGTTTTAATCTTCGGTTCAACAAACCAGGGAAGTTTCACTCGAAGCACGGATGAATTATGATGCATCTGATATGACCTTGATGGATTGATAGTCACTCTCCGTCGCTGCTGATGCTCAGTGGACGCTGACGTGAGTCGAGCACGGCTCTTTCGATCAGCTTGGCCGGAATCGACACCCATCCAGAGGTTGACACGATCGATGGGATCGGCGCAGTAGTGACGAAAGCTCAAGTGAAGGGAAGCATAGGATGGGAAGTAGATCACGACGCATCGAGCAGTTGCACAGATACTGTGTGTGTTGTGGGGATACAACCAGAGTTTTCTCCCCAGCACGTTGTTAGTGAATAAAAATGAACTATGAATTTTCTTGCTGCGGTAATGCCCGGTTAACTCAGTCGGCAGAGTGTCAGGCTCTTAACCTGAATGTCGCGGGTTCGACCCCCGCATCGGGCTTT